AGTTTTTCTTCATTACCCATTCAAGCCGTCTCCAGCTATTATTGATCGTATGTTTATCCCAATTTGTCACTAGAAGGCACTGCAACTCATCTACAGTAGCTGGTTTAGGGTAGTGGTTAGCGATTTTCTGGTTCAGTTCTACCCAACAGTTCTCAATGGGATTACAATCTGGAGACTTTGTTGGCCATGGTAATCTTGTAATGTCCTCCTGGTTGGGCATTTACTTCAGTTCTGCTATTACTGTATCCCAGACATACAACTGGTACTCATTTATAATAGTGACAAAGAATCGGTGGCTGGATCCAGTAAACGTAACAACGACAGATGTAATGCCCCTTCTTGTGTCTATACACTTGTCTGAAATTCCCAAGGGAGCAGTCCAAATCACGTTTTACATGATGCCCCTTAAATGATAGCAAGCTATTCCTTTTGTGATTCTATCAGCAGTAGTGGTTGGGGTGCCAACAAGGCTGTTTGTCTTTATTTCCAAGGCTCCAGTTCTGGGATAAACCTGGGGTTTGTAACCATGCCTTCCTTTGAAAAAGGTTTCAGGAAAAATTCCAATTAAATCTACTTTCGACTCAGCCACTCTTCGGGGTAGTGAATCAACTCAAGACAGTAGTAGTTACTTACGGGCCATGTCTTGTTCTGATCAACACAAACAGAATCACAGCATTTGCTTTCAGGAGTACTAAACACTGGTAGTCATGGCACTATACAGACTTTTTCTTAAGGCTTCTACATACTTGGTTTCAAATAAAGTCAGCTATCCTGCAATATCCTTACTTTTGTATCAAGCTAGACTTGCCTGAAGACTGTCACAACTACCGTAGAAAATTCAGATAACCAATTGGTATGCTTTGTTAGTATTCTGAATTTCCAGAATCACTCAACATCCAAGAAATATTCCTCCAGATTGATTCCAGTTCCTCTTCATCTTGTTGATATGTTTTTGTACATGAGACAAACATGATTCAGCAGTCATTCACAAATTGAAACAGGGAACAACAAAAGCAAATAAGTCACAACAATTTGCACAAATCAAATTGTCCCCCGCTATGACAGCGGTAAGTCTCCGTACTTACAACGCTAAAATCAGCGGTTCGATCCCTCTCGGTGGACACAGCAGATAGCCCCGATGTGGCCTTGCTATAAGGAAAACACAAACAAATCAAATCCTGATTACTACGGTATTCCTTATTTATGGAATATGTATTTTACACGCGATCTGATCCACATGTAGGAGATTTGAAATATTTTATTTTCAAATTAAGTGGAATGCCTTAAGTAAAGGAACACATACACATTGTACACTGACGCAAGCACAACCTTTATTTCAACTTATAATAGAAAATGAATAATAGGAGGAACACCTTGAACACAACTTAGAATGGCAAACTGATAGTACCAAATTAAAAATGAAAGAGAATTGCACTTAAAATCCTACGAGATAAAGAAAACTTTCGGAAATGCTCTCCAAGCCAGATGTACTCCTTGGAGGTTAAGTGGGAACTCTAATTTTAAGGAGAAACTGAGTAGGGATACACTATCACTTCTAAAAATTCAGTAAGCACATGCAAAAAAAAGCATAGCCTACGGCAGCTTTATCTTCCCATATGAGTTTCAAGTTAATGATGTTACAGGATCAGTCTGTTGGGTTAGCAAAACCCTCAGACTAACGAGAATACAGAAAAAGTCTAGATTAGCAAACCACAGGACTATGTTTATGAAGGACCAGCAACAGTTTTGTCAGTTTTAACTTAAGCCATAAGGAAAGAATATAAAAATAGAAATTAAAACTTTAAATATAAATGGTAGAAGGATGTTTATAACAACTATATTTTGGTGAGAGCGTTAGTTCTAGGTTACAACAAGGGTAATTTGAACTAAATAGTTTAAAATAAGTTGCTGTGTCTACATGTAGTATGTATATCACCAAAGTGGTTTTGGAATTTTCAAGTGTTTATTTTGTTTAATTAATAATTCTACATGTGTTTTTTCTCACTTTCTTTCCTTGATATAGTTATACTCTAATTCTAATTGAGAATTTAAGCACACATATGTTTTCATAGCTGTGATTTGTGCTGTGGTGTCGAGATTGGGGTACAGCATTTCTTCTACCGTGTCTAAACAAATATTTTTAGAAATAACATACACTATATTGGTTATTTATAATATGCCTATTTCTAATTTCCTATATGCTCATGTATAATGAAAATGAGCTTGTTGCTCTTAAGAAATCTAGGCTAAAGTTTCTTTTGTTTGCAACTAATTTCAGTAAAATTTAATAAATAAAACTACCATACTTAATATATTTCCTGTGCCTATTAATTATATATATATGTGTACAATCTCCCAAGATGTTACAAATGTTTGTTTGTAATCAGATAATACACTGTGTAAGGTTATTGGCCCCTTTCTTTCACCTTTGCGGGCATCAGCTGTTGCATACTGATCACGTAAAGCTATGTAGAATATTAGAGATATTTTATGTAATACTTAACAAGTAAATCTTTTTTTCTATTCTGTTTGGAAAGTTAAGAAATGAAACAGAAGTTTCTGATTAGTATTTCTCCTATGCTTAACAGGTCGTTTTGAATGATGATTAGATTTGTGTTTCCAATATGATGTCAAATGCTTGATAACTATGTGTAAAAATAGTTTAACTAATGGTTTTATTGTGATTTTTGCTCTATTTAGAATAGTCAAGTAAATTCATGTTTCATACAAACAAATTGGTCATCTTTTTAGGTATTCTTTCAACTAATTCTTATTGTGATGCTGCGTTTTGAACATGTAGGAATTTGTTTGATTCATTTGAAAAATGAAGTCTTTACGGCTGCATTACTCGATATAGTACAAACCTGTGTAGGAATTATAAAGATGAGACATAACTTATCTCTGATTCGTAGTGGCTAGATTTCTCTTACTTTAACTCGAAATAATGCACAGTGTTAATGTCATTGTTTTGTTTTAATAAATATTGAAAGTAAAGTTTAGAACAACGTTGAAATATACTGTGACAATCTGTTGACTTTTTTTTTTGAAAAAAGGTTAACCCATACAAGCAGCCATACACTGAGTCTTAGAATTTAGTTTATCTAAAACTTAGAGGATTCAGGATTTTAAAAGTGGTTAGTTTTTATTCTAACTAGATATAAATGAATTACTATAAGAGGAAAGTAATTGACTAGGAAGTACAAAATTTACACTTTTATTGATTCTGATTAAAGCAAATGGCTGTCTTTGTACAAATGGGAACATTAGCTTATCAGCGTGATGAGAATATATATTTATGTCAGTACATGAGGAATGTACTTATCGGTACAATAAGGATTATTAGTTATCTTAATACATGTGGTTAGAGATTTACTGACACAGTAAGGATACTTATTTATATTGTTAAGATATTCAGTTTATTAGTCTATAGAGCGGGTATTTCTAGTTATTTTAATACAATGAACTTGGTTTGGCGTTCAATCTTTCATTATATAGCAGGTGTTTTCTTTTGGCAATCTATTTCATATTTGGGATGTGTTTCTTACCTCTGGCCCAATATCACTAGTGTTGACACTTGACACAAATTCTCTTAGAAAATTATCAAGTTCTTGGTCTTCAATATAACCATTACCTAAACAACAAAAAGGGTACAATTATTGACAATAAGTTAAACTGTTCCTCATTTTTTGGCAGCATATAACAACTTAAATGAGCTGGCAATTGTATATAATACAGACATACTGCTTAAAGCGTATAACAAAAAGAGTATATCATGAATGTTTCTCAATTCTTTTGTTTTCTTCAATTCACCTTTTTGAACACATATTACACGAATTATTTAACTGCTAATCTTTAAATTCGTTAAAACATAACATAAAATACAAAGGGTTAGATTCACTTTATAAGAACAATTTACTCACTCAAAGAGAGGTGTGATGTGACATATACGAGTCATAACGCAACGTGTAACATGTTTAACACCCATATACATGATTCAGTGTATTTCTGACTACTCGAAATGCAATGCCACCAAATATAAACATATAACTGGAGGATATTCTTACAGGATATTCATTTTCTTCTTCACAATTTGCGTGCAAAGCTGTAAAAGGGACAAATACAGTGCCTTGCAAAAGTATTCACCCTCTTGCAAACTTTCTACATTTTCTTGTCGTCTTAGTTTGCACTAAGGAAACTTTCATATGGGACTTTATATTTAGAACCTACACAATCTATTTCAAGTTGAGAAAACTAAGAAACGCTGATATTATGTTAGTAAGTTAAATTTTCAAAGAAAACTATAATATTCTCAGTTGCAAAAGTATTCAACCCCTTTGCTATAGCAACCCTAAATCAGTTCAGGTGCAAAATATTAGTTTGAAAATTAGTGTAATGGTCTCTGTCTATGTGTAATCAAAGTGGTTTAACTTAACGTCGGAGTAAATGCTTCTGTTGAAGCTTCAACTCACATAGTGATACGAAAAATCAACCATGGAGATCAAGGAACTTTCCAAAAAAGTCAGGGATAAAGCGATAGAGAAGCACAGATCAGAAGAAGGTTACAAGAAAATTTCATAATCGTTGATTATCCCTTTGAGTATGGTGAAGTCCATCATTAAGAACTAGAATGTGCTTCATACCATCCAGTCACTACCCAGATAAGGGCCACATTTCTAAACTAAGCAGCCGGGTAAACAGGAACTGATTAATGATGCCAGTATGAAACCAACAGTTACTTTGAAAGATTTGCAAATTTCCATGTCTGAGATGGAATTCAGTGTTCATACATTGACAATGTCCCGGTCCCTACACAAAGCTGGCCTGTATGAGCGAGTGGCAAGAAAGAAGCCATTACTGAAAAAGAATCATCTTAAATCTCGTATGGAGTTTGCGACAAAGCATGTAAATGATACTGCAGACATATGGCAGAAGGTTTTGTGGTCAGAAGAGACAAAAAATTAACTTCTTGGCCTAAATTCAAAGCGTTATGTCTACTGCAAACCAACACAGCACATCCCCTAGTCAACACCATCCCAAATCATCAGCAGGGACTGAGAAGCTTGTCAGGATTGAAGGGAAGATGGACGGTGCAAATTACAAGCGAATCATAGAAGAAAACTGCTTTAGTCAGTCAATAATCTAAAACTTGGTCGAAAATTCATATTTCAGCGGTACAATGACCCGAAGCACAAGGTGAAAGCCACACTGGAGTGGTTTCAAAAGAAAAAAGTGAATGTCCTGGAGTGGCCCATCTAAAGCCCTGACTTGAATCCATTATAAAATTCAGGGCAGGACTTGAAGATTGCAGTCCATCAATGATCTCCAACAAACTTGCTAGAACTGGAGCAATTTTGCCAGGAAGATTGGGCAAAAATTACACCATCCCATTGTACAAAGCTAATAAAGACCTATCCAAAAAGACTCGCAGTAGTACTTGCTGCCAAAGGGGCTACATCAAAAACTGATTTAGGAAGTTGAATACTTATGCAATCAGCAAATTTCAATTTATATATTTTCTTTGCGGCTTTTGCTGACATTCAACCTCTTTCACACAAAACAATGTTAAGTTTGATTATTAAAGTTTTGAATAAAAACAAGTTTAAAAAAATCATAATGCATAATTGGTATTTCCTCAAAATGTGGCATCATTGGGGTGAATATTTTTGCAAGGCACTTGTACATGTAGTCAGATGTTGGATAGTCAGCGTGATCTCGCTAGGGAAAAATCTTGCCACACTAATCTTCTGACAAAGCAGAATCTATAATGTATAGATGAAGGTAAAGGTGTGGATTTGGTGTATCTCGATTTTAAGAAACATTATTTGATAAGGTGACACATAAAAGGCTTGTTAAGAATATCTGTATATGTGGAAGATAGATTGCCTCATTAGATAGAAAACTGGTTAGATGGCTTAAAGCAGAGGTTGTTATAAACGAATTTCAATTAAACTGGATTAACGTCACGAGGGGGATAACTGAGGGTTCAGTATTAGGACCTTTGCTCTTTTCGAATTACATCAATGACATAGATGAAGGAATAGTAAATAGATTATCTGAAAATAGCTGATTACATTAAAGATTTGGTGTTGCTGGCTTTCAAGATGATTATACTGCTTAACAAAAGGATTTGGATTATTTCGTAAGTTTGGCAAATAAACGGGAGATGGCTTTTAATTACAACAAAATGCAAGGTAATGCATGTGGAATATCATAATTTGCATTATTTGTTTGTTTGTAGTTAAGCACAAAGCTGCAAAATGGGCTATCTGTGCTCTACCCACCACAGGTATCGAAACCCAGTTTTTAACGTTGTATGTCCGCAGACATATCGTTGTGCCACTGGGGGCATTCAATTATGAGTATAATTGAGTATAATTTCGATGGGAATAACCTTAACAGTGTTATGCAAGAAAAAGATATTGATGTTCTGGTTCATCACGCTCTCAAGCCATTCATGCATTGTACTGTTGCTAGTGGCAGGAAAAATAGTATTTTACGTTGTATCTCCAGAAATATTGAATACAATCTAAAGAGGCTATAATTTCATTGTATAGGTTTTTTTTCGGGTCATATTTGGGGTACTGTCTTGGGCTCCTTACGTCAGAGATGACATTGAATTGACGTAAAGATTCAAAGAAGAGCTACGAGAGAATACGACAATAAGTTAAGATCATTCATTTTGTTTTCTCTTGAAAAAAAAATGAAGAAGAGATAATCTATTTGAGGTGCTAAAAATTGATAGTGTTGTGAACCACATCATTTTTTGTATTTAATGGTGAGAATGGTAAGACTAGGGGACACAAATATAAATCTTAGCAGAGAAGGAGTTATCTCCTTCTAAGACATGTCTATTTTTTCTAACAGGGTGGTTGCTTTTGGAACAGGTTGCTTTCAGATGTCATAAATTCAGTTAACTTTAAGGGAGTTTAAGAAAAAGCTTCAAAAATAGGGGTTGGCTTCAAAGTTTTTAGTTTTGATTTTAATTTAATGAATAGGACGGCTTAGATGGACCACAAAGTCCCTTGTTATCCTTCAACATTATACACATAGCCATCTCTGATATTGAATTGATAAACTTGAGGGAAAACAGTTGGTGAACAGCACCCACTACTAACTCTTGGGTTACTCTTATCTGAATGAATAGTGACTGGAATGTGGTTAGGTTTTCTATTGGCATTATGTAAGTTTTTTCGTTTGTTATTGGATGATGACAGCCTTGAATAGCACTAAGAAAATTATTGAATTTGGTGCTCAACTTTAGATATATTGCTACTTGATTAAAATGTGGTAATATATTTTATTTTGCGTTTCTGTAATTTGCCTAACTTTAAATGGTCCCATAAGCCAACTGGAACTGGAATTCCACAGTATTATAAGTACTAGTATAAACATGATATGTCAGTACTAAATCAAATATTTATTCAAAAATGCATTTCAGCAAGTATTGGCCTAACAATATTAGATTATCAAACTTAATGTATTATTTGATGGTTTTAGAACGATATATATTTTGTAGCGGTTTCTATTATTGGATGGGTTCTTTTTTAGCAATTGGTAAAAATAATGTAAAGACCAGTCATTTCAATGAAAGTAAAGCAGTTCATTACTTCAGCTGAAAGTTCAACAGATTTCATGTTCTTTAATATAATTAACAATATCTAAATGATAACCTTAACTTCACGAATAAATAATGCTAGAAATTATTTGCTGCCTTATCCTGTGTCTCTAGTACTTTAGTGCTTTATTAAAACAGAAACTCAAAATTATGGTGCTGAAATAGTTAACGCAGACTAAGTAATTAAACAACAACTTCCTACTACTACTCTGTTCTAGATGGTGGATGACCTTTGACTTGGAATGCATGGATTATGTAAACCACGTCATTTATTATTTTCACTAAAACATTGAATCCTTCCCAACAACTACTTAACTCCATTGTTTGTCCTGTCTTGCAGCGAGGTAGAGGTAGGGACTAGCATATCCTGCTTTGGGCATTCAAATCGCAATTTGTGGGTCGCAGATTCGAATCCTATCAACATACATACTCGCCCTTTCAGACATAGGGGCGTTATAATATGATGGTAGCCCAAGAGATGGTGTTATGTGGTATTGACTAGCTGCCCTCCCTCTAAGCAGTTTATCAGTTCTAAATTATAGTTGGACAGTGTACACTGAGTGGTCACAAGTAAATAGACACCTAATTTTTCGTCATTTAACTCATTTATGCTAACTAATTTGTGTTCACAGAGCACTATATAAATTAAAATCGTCCGCACACTAATTATATTGTGCTACAACATGCCTATAATTTAAGGTTCTCTCCAATTGTCAGATTTTGTTAGAGAAAGAATAGTTGGTCAAGCAGATGGTGAAATAAGTCAGCGGCAAATTTCGCAGAATTTGGGAATCCCGCTTTCGACAGTCAACAAAATCATCGTGCAGTTCAGGAAACTCGGCAAGGAAACAACTGAGCAGCGTCCAGGTCGTCCTGGTCCATCAGAGAGGACAAAAAGGGCTGTCAAGAGGAGCATCGAAATGGATCCAAGATTAACTTCTGCAGAAGTGGCCAAAGTTGGTGGGATGAGCCCGAAATCTGTTCAACGGATTCTCCACAGATTGGGTTATCGTTGC